CAGAATGGAAGGATTACCATATCTTGGATAATACCAGAATGGAAGGATTACTATATCTCATATAATAAAATAATGGCGGGATTACCATATTTCAAATAGTAAAATATTGAAGGGATTACGGTATCTGAGTTATTACATAAATGTAGCAGATCCATTGTTATCTGTTATAACTCTAACACTTAGGATCTGTTTTATCTAACAGAACTACAATCGTTTGTACAAGTATACAGAAATACCAACAATAATTGTGTTATAGCAGATCCATTGTTATCTGTTAAATTATTGTTGGTATTTCTGTATACTTGTACAAACGACTGTAGTTTTGTTAGTTAAAATAGATCCTAAATGTTAGAGTTAGACCAAATGTTAATATCAGAGTCAGTATTAAAATAATATAACTTACTGGTTTAAAGAAGGACTGGTACGATCATTGACCAAAGGTTAATATCAGAGTCAGTATTAAAATAATGTAACTTACTGATTTAAAGTAGGACTGGTACGATCATTGACCAAAGGTTAATATCAGAGTCAGTATTAAAATAATGTAACTTACTGATTTAAAGTAGGACTGGTACGATCATTGACCAAAGGTTAATATCAGAGTCAGTATTCAGCTCCTTGAAATATTTATAGAAATCATAAATACTGATAATATAAATATCAACGACAACTCAAAACACTGTTGGTATTTCTGTATACTTGTACAAACGACTGTAGTTTTGTTAGTTAAAACAGATCCTAAGTGTTAGAGTTATTACAGATAACAATAGATCTGCTATAACCCAATGATCGTACCAGTCCTACTTTAAACCAGTAAGTTACATTATTTTAATACTGACTCTGATATTAACCTTTGGTCAATGATCGTACCAGTTCTTCTTTAAACCAGTAAGTTATATTATTTGAATACTGACTCTGATATTAACCTTTGGTCAATGATTGTACCAGTCCTTATTTAAACCAGTAAGTTATATTATTTGAATACTGACTCTGATATTAACCTGTGGTCAATGATCGTACCAGTCCTACTTTAAACCAGTAAGTTACATTATTTTAATACTGACTGTGATATTGACCTTTGGTTTTACTTCATTTAATTTCTCTACGTTCAAACATTTCCATAAACATCTTTAATATTATTTGTGGCTACAGAGGCATTGTTTCCCTTCTTGTATTCAACAGCATTACACACCGAATGTGTGTCTCGTCGTGTGCCATCATTATAAGGGATTAGAGTATACTAAACTTTACACATTATAGAGGCTACACTAACGTGACGTTTAGGCGGTTCGTTTAACTATTATACGTGATGTATGTTTGTTGGGTGGTGATTAATGAACGTTTTCCAAAACGCGACATTAATTTCTTGACGATCTAATATATTCGTTCTTGTGCTCATATATAAGCTTGCTTTTTCTCTATATTATATTTGGTCATTTCGTTTCTATTGCAGTCCATCTGTTTATCTATAAATAATTTCATTTACTTCTCTAAATTTTCAAACACATATAGTTACGTCATCTTTTCGCAATAAAACCCACTTTAAGTAGCTAAGTTGTTAGAATGTTTTAAACTTTTACAACTGAGTCGCTTACAGGAAACAAATACCAAGAAAGAAGAGAAAGAGAAAGCTCCCACAAAATGTTCTGCTCGTCTAATTTATTTAATTATATAGTTGCACACGTTTTCAATTTGTTTAATGAATTGAGGTGGTTGTGTAGTAGTTCCAGGTTAATTAAAACCGTTGAGATATTGAAAATAGTTTCAATTAAGTTAAGTTTCTAAACATTACATTACCCGACTTAAGGAAGAACGTGTATTAGTGGCTGAAGTCATCTGTAGAGTGATTTTACACATTAACCATTGATGATATATTGATGTGTTGTTTATAACACTTAACCATTGATGATATATGGATGTGTTCTTTATAACACTTAACCATTGATGATATATGGATGTGTTGTTTATAACACTTAACCATTGATGATATATGGATGTGTTCTTTATAACACTTAACCATTGATGATATATTCATGTGTTCTTTATAACACTTAACCATTGATGATATATGGATGTGTTCTTTATAACACTTAACCATTGATAATATATTCATGTGTTCTTTATAACACTTAACCATGGATGATATACGGATGTGTTCTTTATAACACTTAACCATGGATGATATATAACACTATACTTTATAACACTATACTTTTAGTGATATGTAAATCCTTCCTTTATAACACTATACTTTTAGTGATATGTAAATCCTTCCTTTATAACACTATACTTTTAGTGATATGTAAATCCTATGTAGTGTGTTTCGTTTTTTAAACGTTGTCTTAAGCTAATGTCAACGTTTCATTGAAAGTTTATAAAGATGTGTGGTCTAAGTTTAACGTCGCCATCTTTCCTAGAAACTTGTTAGGAAATTACGGTAGTGAGTGAAAAGGTTTATTTGTGGCCACCGATGGCAAGTGGGGAGAGTGTTTCCAGGGGCAACAGATGACCTGGAATATCGTTCTTGTAAAATGCTATTAACTTTCCTTATTCCAGATTCATTACTATTTTCCGCAAATCCTTGTTGATGGTCACTAGCTTTTTTAAAAGTTTTCCATTGGAATTCTTCATTACGATAAGCCAAATTTTACGTATTGTATAACTAAAACTGTAACGTTTCCTGTCTCAGCAGAAGACTTTCTGGACTGATATAAATAATCCAAGTTAGTCCAGTTACAAGAAATAAAACAACAATAAAATTAGGCCTAGCAGGGGCTGGTACTCAGAGCATTCGACTCGTAACCTGCGAATCACGAGTTCGAATCACGTCACCGAACATGCTTGACCTTTCAGTATTGGGGGTGTTGTAATGAGACAGTCAATCCCACTATTCATTGGTAAAAGAGTAGTCCAAGAGTTGGCGGCTGGTGGTGTTGACTAGCTGCTTTCTGTCTAGCACATATAGTCCTTCAGTAGCTTATGAGAAACGTGCTAAGACAGCTTGGGCATATTTTTCAAAAATGACGCTGATATATATTATATTCTGATGTAGTTTGCTTTGCAACGACGAGACGAGTTGCGTTGTGCGTGTGGTCGATTAAACTATCTAGCTGGAAAAGTCACTGGCTGTCGATCAGCGGGAGCTATATTTAGTTACCATGGAAGCAATAGCCAAGTGAAGTAACTAGATTTTATAAGGTGGAGGGAGTATCCATAGTTCAAGCGTGATCTGCACGAGATTGGAACGTTTCGAAAACTAGAGTGTGTTCAAAAATAGTTCAAACTTGTTTGGACCATTCCATATTCCAAACACAGTGGTACTATATAAGATTCCATTTTCACTGAACTGTTGCTTATTTAGAGAAGTTGTAAATATAATAACTAAACTCCAAATAATCTGTTAATAACAAGATCTGATCTGTATCATAAAGATAACACTAGATTATTTAGTTATTATATTTACAGCTGTTAATAACAAGATCTGATCTGTATCATAAAGATAACACTAGATTATCTAGTTATTATATTTACAGCTGTTAATAACAAGATCTGATCTGTATCATAAAGATAACACTAGATTATTTAGTTATTATATTTACAGTAGTGTTATCTTTATGATACAGATCAGATCTTGTTATTAACAGCTGTAAATATAATAACTAAATAATCTAGTGTTATCTTTATGATACAGATCAGATCTTGTCATTAACAGCTGTAAATATAATAACTTGATAATCTAGTGTTATCTTTATGATACAGATCAGATCTTGCTATCAGCTGTAAATATAATAACTAAATAATCTAGTGTTATCTTTATGATACAGATCAGATCTTGTTATTAACAGCTGTAAATATAATAACTAAATAATCTAGTGTTATCTTTATGATACAGATCAGATCTTGTTATTAACAGCTGTAAATATAATAACTAAATAATCTAGTGTTATCTTTATGATAC